ACTTCTGATACTTAACATTGGTAATTTTTTTAAAGAAGTGTTCTGAAGTGTCCTTACTCATGATCCTCATTGTTTGAGCAGATACATTTCAGATTTTCTCCGCACTTTGAAATGATTGTTATTTTTAGTGTCAAGTACAAGAACAACAGGATTCTAGTAGGAAGTGAAAAACCACAGAGTCCACAAAGCTGCCACTTGCCTTCAGTGGCATTTTTGGTACTTTCCAAGCTGTGGGTCAATGAGCTCTCTGTTTTCATTGGACACTTCTTTGCTTATCGTCAGCATCAGTTGCTATTTCAGAATAGAAAACATAACCCTAATTCTTAGGCAGATTGTGTGTTTTCACTTGGTTTGTACTAACTAAACTGGGTTTGCATTATCAAATAGAGTCATCTGTGCCCTAGACAACTATTAAAAAAAAGGCATTATTCTTCTTTACCAAAAGCTAAAAGTTGCACAGTTACAGCAATTACTGATTATATACTCTTAAAAGCATAAATAAACATATGCAGTGCTATATGCATATTTTCAAGCAATTTCTTTCTTTGAAAAAAATAAAGTTGTAGTTGTGACTAACTGGCAATGTCACAATTTTTCTTTTTGCCTTGTAACACCTTTAGAGTGTGAATGATATCACACTCTTACTTGTAACCAGATCCAGAAGCTTTAGAAAACATGTTTCAAGTGTAGGTATTAAAACTTCAATACTTATACTATTGCAAATGTGATACTTTGAGAAACGACAAGTATTTAAGTTGTGCATTTTATACTTCTCAAATATATATATATTATACTTCTCAAATATATATATATATATATGTTTTTAAAAAGCTTTCAAGCGGGAGTGGGGAGGATCAAAACAGAAGGGAAGAACACAGAGTCTATGGTAATGGTTCACGGGTGTCTCAGTGGTGGGAATTTTATGGAGACAACACCGGAAAGGAGAAATCAAACATTGTACAAAAATGAACAGCGATGTAAAAATAAGTAAATAAATAGCTTGCAGACACCCTCCCATATGAAGTGTTCCTTGTAATTGAATCCATGTACTTGGAAGTAGGCCATTGCAGAGTTGCTGACATCCTACCTCCACACCCACTTTAATCCTTTAACAGAAAAGTCCTGCTACTGAAGAAGGACTGCCACTTCTGTGTCTCTTTTTTTCTTTTTGCTATTTTATCTGGATCAGCCCAATATTTTTTGAGTACCAACCATTGTTCTTGACAGTACTAATCAGTATTCACTCTAATTTCCAAGATGACTCATTTGTCTTAGATACTGTTATTAGTATCTAGTATACATTTTAGCAAATTGTGTACAGAGAAATTAAATAATTTTCCCAAAGACATATAGTAGTCACAGGTAGAATTCGAATCCAGGCAATTTGATTCCAGAATTTCTACTGGTTGGCCTGCATGCATCCTTTCATTCATCCAGGCATTGGTTTATACAGCAGGTAATTATTGGCACCCACCCACAGCAGGCACTAATTTGGTGTGAGAAGGATTCAGTAATCCTTCAGTAAATCAATTCAAATTCTTTGCCCTACAATGCTTATACTCCACTGGGGACATAGATAAGGAAAATGTCAACAACTACATATTCTAAGTTCAGGAACAATAACAATAAGGCAGGTAAGAGGATGGAGAACAGAGTAGAGGTTATCAGCTGGTGAGGCCAATCTCTATGAGGAAGTGGTGTTTGATCAGATGTGTGAATGTTCCATAAAACTAAGTGGGATCTTGTCCACCCAAAGGGTAATGTAAGCTTGGAGGCCCTGGAGTCACAGTGGATTGTGGTGCCCCCCACAAGCTTCAAGAAAGTGACCCTCCCACTGCAGGGCTAGCTGACTGAGCAAGGTGGGAGCTGATGAAGATGAAATGGGAGAGAGAGAGAGAGAAGGGCCAGATCATTGGCCATGGTGGAGTTTGAATTTAATAATTTATTGATAATTCTACATTTGATAAAGGAAAAAACTTGAAGAGTTGGAACTTGAAAGTAATGGAAGTACTTTCCATGGAAAGTAATGGAAGTTTTTTAAAAAATTTATTTTTTCCCATCTCTATCCTGACAAGTGTTATGATGATTACTATTAATTTTCATCTTTTCTAAAAAATTTATTTTTTAAAGATTTATTTATTTATGCATACAAGAATGGGGGTACAGGCCAGAGGTGTGGAGGGTGAGGATTCACCAGAGACAGAGTGGGGAACAGAACAGGCGGAATGACTGAGATACACCGCTGAGGGGAGCAGCGGGCGAGTCAGGAGAGGTCTGCTGCACTATGTGGGTTGCTCCCTGGCCGGGGATCAAACTTGTGCTGCAGCGGCTGCAGTCAGCTTCATAGGTTGTGTCTCAACCCCTTGCGCCACGAGGGAGGCCCTAAAAAATTTACTTTTTAACACTGCTTGCTTCTCTATATGCTTTCTTACTGTTAACTTCCAATTTTATGTATGCTGTCAGTAGACAATTCATTGAAATTCTTTTTGGTTGTCACTTAATCTTATGTGTAACCTGGGTAGATCAGTTCTGGTCACTGCAACTTAAGAAAGTCAGAATAGAGCTGAGAAGGCCAAGAAGGGCAACTTCAATAACTGAGCAGAGGGAGATTAAAAGGATTAGGATTTCTCCAGCAGAAAGATCAGCACTAAGAAGGGAGACAATGAAGTGTCTATAAAATATGAAGCATATGAGTAAGATGAGGAAAGACTTACTTGCCAACTCCCTGAAAACCATGACCTAGAATACTCTTAAAAGCTGAACAGTGCATTTTGGAAGAATAAAAATATGTGGTCTTCTGCATTATTGATATTTATTACTTCTGGTCACCTAGAGCTACAAGAGTTAGAAATGTAAGTAGGTTTGGGAAAAGGAGCAAGTATAAACACATTGACAATGAGGATCATGAGTAAGGACACTTCAGAACACTTCTTTAAAAAAATTACCAATGTTAAGTATCAGAAGTTTAGTAGGGACAATGTAAACGATGAGGCTACTTTATATTTAGATAACTCTTTTTGTGTCCTCTCCAGAAAACCCAAAGTAAGATATTTCTTTTAAAATATAGTGACCGAGAGTCTTGTACCGTTTGAGGAGAATGTAATAATCTGGTATAATTGTCATAAGCTGGCAGATTACTGATCATTTCATGTATTTCTCCTTTTGGCTACCAGAAAATTGACCTGTAGTTGATTATAGCAGGTATATGCAATTTATGATCTTCTCATTCATGATTCTTGTTAATCCTTCTGGGTTTTACTTTCTGCTACTATTAATTTTTCTTTACTAAATTTTAGAATTCTTTAAAAATTTTACTATTTAGATATATGTGTAAGTACTCTTTATCCTCCATAAAATGATACGGGTTTAACTAAATTGTTAGGCAGTTTTCATAAATACAATTCCACTCGATTGTCACAGCAACTTGCAGAAGAAAATATTGTCATTCAAATATTACAAATAGGGGAAGTGAGACTCAAAAAGATAAAAATCTTGCCCCAAATCCAAATAACAACATAGTTGTCACTGGGCTATATTGTACCTTATTTCTTTACCAAAAAGTACTTCCTACTGCTTTAAGTATCTCCAGTAAGAGTTATCACTGCATTGAAAATAGTGTGAATGAAGTAAAATAAATACATTTATGTTGTAAAAAGAAGGAGTTAGGCTGGGAGGTAATCTTACCAAGAATTACATGCTATTGTAAAGTATTAGGGCATTAGAGGAAGATGAAGAATATTCTTTGATGAATTTTGTCTCTTTTAAAGCAAAAAGGTGAAGTACAAACTTTAGATAAAAGTTTTTCTTGAAGGAAAATGAATCAGTTGACCCAGGTGAGATGAAAATAGTTTTTAAAAATCAGCCACCACCAGACCTCACTCACTATTCATTAGCGCCCACCATGGCTAGGAGGGGGCTTTGATCTGCTTTGGAAGGTCGCCAGCTGGCCCCAATCCCAGTGCAATGGCCCCCCTGCTAGCGCAGTCCTGCAGCTAGGTCTGTTCCTTGGGCAATGGAGCCTGTGAAAATAGCACCAGACTGGCTGTGGAACACAGCTGACAAGAAAATTCAAAGTCCATGTGAGCTAGAATTGTCACCAACTTAATTTTCAGCGTTTTTTGCAGAGCTCAGGATCCTCCCATCTTTCTGTCTCTGTAACCAGGAAAGTCAAAGCATCTGGCCTGGTGGCACTAACCAGCTGTGCTTCATTAATGGCAGTATAGGAAAAAAACACATAATAAAAAAGAGACAGATCCTCTTTTAATGCAGGTATGATTATAACACAATTCATTAAGTACTATCACTTATTTATCATGGTATCCTACTAGCATGTCATCTACCAGCAATTTCAGCAAATGGTATAACATTTCCACACAATTGTTTAAGTACTGAGTTAAACATGACTAATGCAAAATTGCCAAGACAGATTCCATTTTGATGTGAGGTTCCAGTCCAGAATTTGAGAATATACTTCTTTTACTCGAGGGAACAGATAATGGTTGCTCAGCTAAGTCAGGATTGAATCATCTAGACAGTTTTACTGTGCTTCTGCAAATCTTTCATATTTCTGCACTCCTAGGCCTGATTAATGAGAAACCACACTGGAGAAACAGGTCCATTTGTTTTGTGTCTAACATGCATTGGACATGCATTGAGTAAACTTCACCGAGATTACCTAGCTAGTTAGCAGGTCTCTGCACAGGGAGTCAAATCCAATTGCCTTGATTCCAAGAGCCATACTCTTGATCCTACTGTGCAGAGCTTCTAGACTTCTTGTTGCCACAGAAAGCGTGCAAGTGCATGCAGTTCTAAGTGCTCTAAAACTCATGCAAAGATTACTGACATTCTGAATTCCCATATATTTTGTAGTCATTTCCTTTGTTTTATCTGTGGAGGCAGCCTCATTTAGAGACCCTTGGCTAGCTACATGCTGGATAAGGATGGAACATTCCATAGAAGAAAACACCTCAAATTTTTCTGTGCATTGTTTTTTGACTTGCCTGGTGTGAGGAGGGCTCCACCTTCATATCTTCCTCTAGGTCCACACCAACCCTGTTAAAGGAAACGGAAAAGTGGTAAGGGTCTTGCTGCGGATGACCAGACGTTCTTGTGTGGCAGATCTTGTGAACCGCACACAATCAGAATCAGAGGGAAGCTTTGCCAGAAAACCAGCCAAGCTCCTCCTGAATCAAAAAACATCAAATAGACTTCTGGCAAAATGAGAACTTGCACAACTGGGCAGCAGCACCTCTGGCCAGACGGCGCACTGGTAGCTGCTTCTCACCACTGGCTTTCCCGCAAAAGCAGGGACTTAAAAACCTGGGACAAGAGCTCTCAGGAAAAAGACTTCCACAGGTTTCAAAACAGGGATCCTGGAAGGAAAGCTGCTTGCTACCCAGGACTCACTGACCTAACTACTTTGGGGATGTAGGGCCTGGGCTGCAGCAGGCCCCCAAGATGGAGAAAGCTCATCCTTTGTCCAGATGCTCATGAAGGAGTGGAGGACCCAGGTTTATGGGGCTTAAGGTTTAGACAACTGGGAAACTCTCTTTAAGAAATTAAAGCAAAAATACAAATAGAAAATTAGATATGAAAGTGACTCCTTAGAAAATAAATGACAACATATACATACATTGAAAATCTGGCACATGTGATGAAAAATTTAAAATTCAGAAAATACATGTAATATTCTCATTAACTAACTGCCTGGCACAGCTCTAAAAGAAATATTTCCTTTGTCAATTTCGCCTGCATACTTCGATATTCTCTTTATATGATGAGTTTGCATTAGAGAGAATAGGAGGATAGCATAGTCTTTCCTCTAGCAAAGTTCATCAAATTATTGATGGTTGGGAGAGTTGGGGGCATTACAACACGCCTTCTCCGCAGACATGCTAGCTCGTGTGCAGCACTGTTGCAGGTTAATGCTCTGCAAACACGAGATTCCTGGTAAACCACCTTTAATGCAGTTCTCATGAACAATGCTGCATGGCTGGATACTTTCCTGAATTTCCATTTTGATGGGGCATCAATGAGAATGGAATCTTCCACTCTGAATTTTACACACCTCCTGAGTAAAAGAATTATCCACACACTAATTTCTGGCTTGCTGCATTTAAGACCTTGTTTTTCCTCCATTACCCAGACTTTCTGATGCCAGGCACACAGGACGTGTTCATCTTCCGTTCAGCCCTGTGGGCCCATGGCTCTTTCCCGTGAGGCACTCCCACTCCAGGATGCCTGACAGTTATTTGCCCTTGCACAGAATTGACTGTAACCACACAAACGTGTCCCACCAAATGCATTCCCAGTTCAGCTTCCCATAAGTCTAGTCCCTCCAAATGCCCACAACCACATCAGGGCCATGTGAATAGAGAAACATGATAGAGGGGAAGCTGTCATGGATAGAAGCAGCAGTAGAGCCCTACTATAGTTAAAATATATTCACTTTGCAAATCTTGTGAAAATAGAGGATCATGGGAACACCAAGCTGGGGCTTTTCCCAGGGTCTTGAAAGGACCAGAGGAAGTCAGGGGCCCTGGTGTTTTACTTCCTCCATTGCAGAGGGCGGGCCTTGGCTGTGGGTGGTGGTTGGGGCCAGTGGGGAGGCTGTTTGGGGAGGGATAGTTCAGGGCTCAGAAGCCCCAGTAAGCACCAGCAGAAGTTTAGAGCCACAATTCCCAGAACTTTAGGGTTTTTTCTTCAATGCCTATCTCTATAAACACTTTTGCAGTTCTGTCCTCTAGGTGGGGGAAGGGAAGCCAGGGTAGGGCTGCCTGTCAGGCAGATATGTTAGCCTGTGAAGGGGAAGCAGCAACTGTGGAGAGATCGCTGGTTTAAAATACCTCTGATTCTTCAAAAGCTAGTGTCCTCTGGGCTTGAGTAGCCCCTTCTCTCTAAGCCAGGGGGTGAAATGAGTAGCTATTTCTTGTATGTTGAACTTTTGGCTTTCAGATAATTGGGAAGGGCCTGTAGAGGGGACTAACCTTTGATTCTCTTAGAGTAGAAAAGCCTATTTGATCTGTTTCATTGAAGTTGGAGGGAGGAAAAGGGGGTCAGGGCGAGAGGAGGAGGGAGGAGGAAAGAGAAAAAGAGAGAGAGGGGAAGGAGGTGGAGAGCAAGAGAGAAGTGGCTGATGGGGTGAGAAGACTGGGAAGGGAAGGGAGATCCAGCGGGAGGAGGTGGGAGGGGAGAGTGGAGAAGAAAAAATAGAGGGGTGTTAAGGTCCCCGACTGACAGGGTCCAGGCCGTGATCTTGGGGTGCTTTTGACCTGAATTCAGCCCCATGTGCATAGTGGGGCCCAAGTGTGTAGGTGAGGACCCTTGGTGGATCTGAGTTCTCTGCCTGATGCTCAGAGCCCCTTAGGAGGCTTTCTGACTGGGAAAGCCCAGATGCCCCTCTCCCAGGGCTACCTCATGCATTGAATGAGGGTCCCAAAGGTTTGCTGCTGCACTGATCTTCTTCTGCTTCCCTGTCTAGAAAACTAGGGACAATAGAAATCAAATGTCACCAAATACCCAGTGTGTCTAGCTGGTGCAGTTCTGAAGTTCTCCACTAAAATTTCAGCCTACCTCCCCAGCAACAATCAAAGCAGGCATTTCTAGTTTCAATTATTCTGGCAGCCAGATGGAGATGAGGACTGAATTCCTCAGTTTTATGTGGGCCTCAGTGAAAGTATCTTGGAGGCCTGAGAGTCTTGGGTACAAGACAAACCTCCTCCCTCCTCCCACTTTCTGGGAGGTCATGCTCCTGGGGTCAGGCGTGTTCCTTTGCTAGCATCCTAAACATTTCAAGTATTGTGTGTAAAAGAAACTCTGTTTAAGTAATTTCTCTCCTGGAAATAAAACTGGTCAATAAAACAGACCTGTTCCCCTGAGTGTGGTTTGGCAGGTTTAATTAGAAAAATCTAAAACAATTTGTTATAATTTAAGTGCTATGATAGATACTTTCTTTCACTTGTGATTTTAGCTCCTTTTGATAGAAATCTTGCTAAAATATATTACCTGACTTCTCGCCTCCCTAAACAGTGTGATGGGGATACTCAGACCTTTATTGGCGATCTCAGTATCACCACTGGCCTCATAAAGTCAAAGACTTGCTGTGTTATAATGATTTCTGAGAAGTGTCTGAATCTCTTCAGGCCCACATTAAATGGTCCCCGACTACTATTCATTTTCTTTTTAAAATCCTTGTATCTGCCAATCGAATGCCTTTATTTTCTGCCTGCAACAATATGTTAGCCTATTACCCTTATGCACCTCACCCTTTTAATTCACTTGGCACTGATAAACTGATAGTCAAATTTAATAGATTTTTTTCTTTTCAAGTTTTTAGCACACAAAGACTCAATAAAATAATAAAATCCAAATATTATCAAAAAGCTTACAATAACATGCAGTTGTTTCCTGCCTCACCCCTGAACACCCCAGACCAAGTCACTGTTGTCTCTGAAGGCAATTTTCTGCTTTTTCTCAATTTGAATCATAGACTGATATCAGCATGCATGGTGCATTCACGCAGGATCCCCAGGGTTAAGCAAACTTGGCAGCTGCTTCTGTATCTCTTACTTTGCTGTTCATGAAAGCAAGTCTGAGTGTGAAAGTGACATTCATTAACGTTAACCTTGAATCTACTAGCTTTTATGCATAAAAGATAATTTATATATGGGTTCTTAAAGGCTTATTAGAGGTTAGGGATGACCAGAGATTATTATAAAAAAGGCATGATGTCACCCCAGTTTATGGCGCCACATGTGCATGCAGCAGCTCCTCAGGTGAGATCACAGGTATATGGGTTGAAGTCCAAGCCCCTTACATGATATCCAGGTTCTTTAACATTTTTTCTGCAGTGTCAACTGCTACCCTTCCTGCTCATCACAGGGTTCCAGGGCTGGTAACTGGCCCCGAACTTTGGTCATTTGTTCTGAACCTCAGTGCCCAATACAATCCCTGAGCTCTGACTATGCCCAATCTATCAGTGTCTCTCCAGGAGACTGAGCCCTCTCTCTCCGAACTCTACCAGGTGGTGTGAGTCATGCTTCCTGCACTGGACAGCTGTCAGGCTCTGCCTTCTTGAGCTTCCCACCATGCCCCTTCCCTCCTGATCATTGGTATCAACCATCTTGTTTCCCTGACTGGTATCATATAACCATCACATGTTTTTACTGACTTGGATTGCAAGTAGGCACATTTTTACCTCTGTCTATGCTCCCAGAAAGAACCAGTTTGGCGACACCTGTGATGGCCCTGTTCTGGCTAGGGTGACCCTGCAGCCTGTGTCAGTTCTAGCGGTGCAGGCTAGCCCATGCTCTGTACGATATGCCAGGTTGGGATGAACAACCACACAGCACAAGAACATTTCGGCAAATATAGAGAAATGAAGAACCAGGATTAAAAAAACGGAATCCCAGGACTCAGGACTACCTTGGAGTTGTTGAGAGGTCAGGAAAACCCAGTTGATAAAAAAACTTGGCACTGGTATGTGACCCGTATCACTCAGTGTTCCTCAGTTTCCTTATTAGCATAACAGGACATTAACAGAACCTGTGTCCCAGGGTGAGGATCAAGAAATGTTTGAGGTTATTGTCAATGTTATTATTTTTATGAACATCATTCCTTTTAAAAAATCAGTAGGATCACTGTTTGGGAGAAAATTTTTGCACACAATACTAATGATAAAGGACTGATGACAAAAATCTACAAAAGGCTGATGAGTCTCAACAAAAACAAAGTAAACAACCCAGTCAAAAAATGGGCAGAAGAGCTAAAAAGAAACTTCTCCAAAGAGGAAATGCAAATGACCAACAGGCATATGAAAAAATGTTCAACGTCACTTGTAATCAGGGAAATGCAAATCAAAACCACAATGAGATACCATCTTACACCAGTGGGAAAAACAACAGATGTTGGCTAGAATGTGGAGAAAAAGAAACTCTACCACATCACTATTGGGAGTGCAAACTGGCCCAACCACTATGGAAAGCTATGTGGAGGTTCCTCAATCTGCTAAAAATAGAACTTCCCTATGATCCTAGATATCTACGGAAAGGACA